ATTTACGTTACGGTTTACGCAGCACTTACTTGTTTTTGGCAAGATGCCGGCTGGAGGCGTCGCTACCTTCAGCGCGAGACCGAAAGCGCCCGGAAAGCTGTTACTGTCTCGAATGATGAAAGTGCCGGGAGGTTTGTCCTTCAACACGTCTATGGCTAAAAACAGGTGAAAGGCTGTGAAGTTGACGCGGACGGCGAAGAACACGAGCAAGAGGCACGACGCTCGACGCAAACGTGCAAGTCAAATCGGCCAGGTTATACAAACATCGACGTGCACAGAGATTACCTTCCTCTCTGGAGATGTGTGGCTTGTACCAGTACTTTGACGTGTCCTTGACGAAAACCGGATGGCTATGCACCACTTCCATCGAATCTACAAATAGCACTGGTTGAAACGGAACGCGACTTATTATTTACTCTGCTGACTACATTCGAACTCCGTACCAATAGTTACTACACACACTTGGTATCACAGTTGCATGCCAATCGTCGCGCAGTACTCCGTTCGGTCAGCCATTACTCTGTGCGTGTGTCACTCGGAGGTCAGAGTAAGAAGTGCAGGACGACGGCACGGCGACAGCGAGCACACCAAACAGGTAGATACTACCTTAATGAGGAACGTTCGCCGGCTACTTGTCGTCGCTCTGTACGTCTGTCTGTCCAGCTCGCCTGAAGGTGTACTTACAGTCTGTCACGCCACGTCACGTCACATCACGTCACGTCACGTCCTTCCAGTTCGTCTACCTATGCGTGTGCAAGTTGTTACGGTCTAGTTCGCGTAGTTGGAGCGTCATACGGATCAAGAAGCGGCTATCCGCAGCGAACGGATAGGTGCTTCGGTGCCTACTTCAGTTGATTAACTTGTACCACCCTTAGACAACACATGTAGGCGAACAAGACGTGTCGGAACATGCTTCCAACGGCGGAAAGAGGCGGAGGGCGCGTTCTCTACTTCTAGAAGAACCTTCTACCCTTAATGCAAGATCAACGCGATCGCGAATCCGATTCAGAGATGTCTCTGACTGTGTGACAGACGACAACGACCCTCAAAGATACGGTCAATGGGAGTGACCGACGCTATGACCAATGACGTTTCTT